AAATAAATTAATATATATATATATATATATATATATATATTTTATTTCTAAATTAAAATAATTAAAATTTAATTATTATATATATTTTTTATAAATATTAAATGACTTTTTATTATTTTTTTATATTTATATTTTTATTAATAATATCATTAATAAACTTTTTTCTTAAATAATATAAACGTATTTTTATTTATTTTGATTTAATTTAAAATAATATATTATTTAAATATATATGGAATGATTATATTAATTAATAAATAAATTTATTTATATGAAATATATAATATGATTATTTAATAAATAATAATGTAGTTATATTATTAGTAATAATAAAACCCTATATATTAATTTACTTATTATATTATTCTATCTTATCATATTTTTTTATATATTAATCATCTTATTTAAAAATTAATAAATTAATTTTTAATTTAAAAAAATAAAATATAGAAGAAAATTATTAAAAAATATATTATATAATTATTAGAAAATAAAAAAATATCATTAAATTGATTTTTTATAAAAAAAAAAAAAAAATAGTAAATATTAAAATTAACAAATATAAGAATTTTTTTATATTAATAAATGGATAATAATCTTATAATAGATAACACATAAAACGAAAAAAAAAGAGAGGAAGACCTAAAGGTTCTAAAAATAAACAAAAATATCTTATTTAAACAGAGCAAAAAATTACAAAGTATATTATTTTAATTAAATAAAAAATTATTATTCTATAATAATTATGCAAACAAAGAATTTTTATTATATTATTTATTTAAACAAATAAAGATTAATTATTTTTGATTATATAATTACAAAAAAAATCATTACTTAATAAAAATAACATAATAATCAATATTATAAAAAAAATTTTGTTATTTATACAATATAAATATATTTTTTATTTTAAAAAAGTAATTATGATCAATGCTATTTAGATAAGAATATATAAAATAAACAATAAGAATATATGCTAACAATGAAACCAAAAAATAATAAATGTTATTATCAATTATATATTACTGTAAATTATAAACCAATGTAAATTAATATAAAATATTATAGTAAAATTATTAAATATATATATTCATATTTATTAAAAAGATATAATGGCAATAGAAAATAAACTAAAAGTATAGTTCCTAAATTGAATAATGACAGAAAACCATGTTTTCCAGGTTTTATATTAGAATGTGATAGAGTATTAAAAAAAATATATATATATTAATAAAAAAATATTTAAAATAATTAATATAATTATGTTTAAATTTAATTATATAAAAATATAAAAAAGTCGCATTATGAATAAAATAAATACAAATATGAAAAAGAACATAATTAGAAAATAAAAGAATATACAGAACATAATTTGAAAATTGTATACAATTATATTATAATATTTGTATATTTCCTTTAATATTTAAATGAAATTATAATGAAAAAAATATATTAAAAAAAAAATATATACAATAAATAATATAAATAAATAAATTAAAATTAGTATATATATTTTTATTAATTATATAAATATATATAAAAATATATATATATGTTTATATTTAAATTTTTCTAATTTTAATTGTATATATTTATATATATAAATTAAATTTATTTATATATATATATTATATATTTAATATATATATATTTTTTTTAAAGTATTAACCTAAACCTGGAAAAAGACATAATTATTGTTGTGTATGTAAATAAAATTATGAAGAATATTTGACAGTAAAACGTAAAAATTAAAATTAAAATTATATTAAATTTTTTATATAGCACATATAATCTGATATTCATAAAAATAGTTATTCAAGTAATGAATTTCTTAAATTAATAAATGAAATTAGTAACATGTTTAAATAATTGCAAAATAGCTAATAAGAAACATACTATAAAAAATAAAATTATAATATTGAGTAAACTTTCAATAATTAATAATATGATTTACCATAACTATTATATGATAATACACAAATGTTAAATATATAAACATTTAATAAAATGATGTAAAATTTATATATATTATATTTATTAAAAAAAATAGAAATTATAATTAATAAAGTTTATACTTTAATTATTAATAATAATAATAATAATAATAATAATAATAATATTAATAATAATAATAATAATAACAATACACTATGTCTTTAAAAAACATAAATAATTCTTATAAAATAATCTAATAATTACCTTAATAAGATTCTTAAATATAATATGATAAATAATAAAATTTATTTAATATTTTTCCAAACAATCATAACTAAATTTTAATGCAATAAAACAACATTTTCCTTATATAAGATACTTAAAAGCCTATAATCGGATCTATTTAATAATAGCAAGAATAATAATATACAAATAATGGTTTAGCATAATTAAATAATATGACTTAATTTTAAAATCAGTATTATATTGATTTAGAGGAATAAAAAGGAAATAATAACGAATTATATGAATAACGTTTAAACATTAAAAGATAAGGAAACTAAATTTTAGAATAAAATGATTTATTAAATAATAAATAATATATTTAAAATAATAACGAATATAATTTTTAATATAAAATTGGATAATAATAATTATAATAAAAAAAATAAGAATAGTTTTTATAGCCCAATTAGTAATAATTTTAAAATTAATTCTAATAATAATTATTTCCATCTTAATTTTAAAATTAATAACATTTTTAAATTGCACACCCTTAATTTTATTAGAATTATTAAGGATATTGTTGAAGACTACATTTTTTTAAAAAAATAAAAATAAAAATATTAATTTTATAAATAAAAAGCTTTTATATATATAAAAAATATAAATATTTATCTCTAAAAATAAAAATTTAATATTTCATATTAAATAAATAAATCTTTAAGTATTTTTATTCTCTAAAAAAAAATAAAACAAAATGAAATACTAAAAAATGTATAATTTCTTCAAACAAAAAACTAATACAAAGCGTTTATTTACTGCTTCTCTTCTAGTAACTAGTGGTTTTTTCGCACAAAGTATATTTACAGACACTCCCCCATAAAAAACAGTATACGCATGGGGATACGGTAATTTCGGATAATTAGGATTAGCAAACGAAAACAATTAATACAGTCCTCAAGAAGTCGAAAAACTATCTGACAGAAACATAATAAAAGTCAAAGCAAATAAATCTGTTTCAATGGCATTATCATAAGATGGTTTTTTTTTTTATAAAAAATATAAAACTAATATATATATATATATAATTAAATATATAGGTAAAGTATATACATGGGGTAAAAACAAAGGAGGAATTCTAGGTCATTATGACATAACTTCATTTAATATGATTCAACCTGAGTTAGTCGAGAAGCTAGAAAACATATAAATAAAATAAATTTCTTGTGGACCTTTTCATATGGCCGCAATTTCTTAAGATGGTGAACTTTATACTTGGGGAAATAAAGACCATGGAAAATTAGGACATGAAATATAATAAAAAAGTAATAAAGTAGAAATCAAAAGAGGTAATTAAAACTATGATTATGCAGAAGGAAGTATGCTACCAACTAAGGTATAAAGTTTAAATGGAATAAAATGTAAATAAGTGTCTTGTGGAGGCTAATTTACTGTAGTATTAACAGAAAATGGAGAGGTATAAATAAAAAAATAAAAGGAAAACAAAAAAAAAGGAAAAATAAAAATAAAAATAAAGGTTTATTCCTTTGGTAATAGTATGAAAGGACAATTAGGATATTAATCAGAAGAAACGGGCAATTTCTAGCCTAAGAAAATACCCGATTTGTAAAACATTATAAATATTGATTGTGGTTAATAATTTTCAGCAGCAGTAAGTTCCTCAGGAAAAGTATATACATGGGGAAATAATGATCATGGATAATTAGGAAATAATTAAAGTATTTATTAAGCTCGTCCAAATTAAGTTACTGGCTTTGGAGGGAACAAAATAATAAATATTTCTTGTGGGGATAATTTCATAGCTGCATTATCTAATGAAGGAAAATTATTTACGTAAATATAAATAAATATTATATATAAGTATAATTATATATAATATATATATATAAATATATATATATATGTATTATAAGATGGGGATATGGTAATGATGGATAATTAGGACATAGTAATAGAAATGATTTATATGCCCCTAAATAAATTGAATTTAAAGAAAAAATCATTAAAGTTGATTGTGGAGGTACTCATACAGCATTTCTTACTTAAAATAATTAATTGTATTTATTTGGAAGAGGAAATGAAGTAATATATATTTATTTTTTATTTATTTATATATCAAATTGTTTTAGGGATAATTAGGTATAGGAGAAAATATAGAAAGTGAAGCTGCTATAAGAACTACACCAAAAATTGTTGAATTTTTTAAAAAAATGAAAGTTGTAGATGTAACTTGTGGAGGAGAGTATACATTAGCCATAACTGAGTGAAAAAAAATCAAAAATAGATAAATATATTAAAAATATTATATATATAAATATTTATTTATATATATAAATAAATTTATTAATATATATAAATATTTTTTTATATTTATTCATAATTTATTATGTTCATTCTTTAAAAATCATCATTATTGTTTACATTAAATAAATATCATATTTCTATGTTTAATTATCATTAAAAATTTAGAAAATAGCTTTGTGATCTTTTTTGTTATAATTAACCTTTACCCAAATATTACATTAATTATCTTTCAAAAAATACTAACCGCCCATAACCTAAAACCCTGCAAAAATATCACTATTTCCCATATTAATAAAATAAGGGAAATAATTAGCATAATCATACTAACTACTTGCAATATTTTTGTCAACCTAGATTTCTTCTGAACTAATAAATTTATATATATATTATAAATATATAAATATATATATAAAAAAAAATAATAATTATTTATATATATATATATATATATAATATATATTTATATATTTATATTTATTTTACGTTATATAACTATTATTGATAGAATTAAAAATATTATTTAATTATTATACTTCAACATTTTTTATCGGTTATAAATATTTATTTATACTATTAGGTAGTGCAAAATTTGCAATTTAATTATTTTATTAATAGCTATAACTAACTTAAGCTTAAATTATTCTATATGGAATTTACATAAACTCAATAATTAATTCTTATTAATATTATTAATTAGCCTCAAATATATTTACCATAATATTTGGTTTTTTATAAAGTTGTACTGATTAATCGCCAAAATATTCGATTTTTATATTATTTAAAGCCACATTTAAGCTTTTATTTTCAAAGAAAATTCTTAATAGTAAATAAGTCTTATCATCAATATCTTTTTATTCACAAACAACTCCTATATTCAAATAATCGTCTTAATATAATACCATTTTATTTTTAAGACATCCTTTTTTAAATCTATATAAACTATTAGAATTTAAAGTTTAAAGTTAGCTAAAAATATCTGAATTAAACCTAACAATTTTAGGTATTAAAACTTTATTTTCTTTCTAAAAATTTCTTTAAGGGGAATAATAATTTTCTATATAACTAGATTTTTAATCCTAATTAGGTGACAAATAAGTCTTAAACTATTTTTAATCTTATAAATAAGACTATTATTAAGAAAAAGGCTTTTCTGGTGAAATAACTGTCTTTGTTTTTAAAGTTGATAAAAGTAAATTATTCTCTTTTTTTAAAAGTACTACATTTCTACTCATTTGAGCTTCTTTTTTGGCGTGATTATTTTTTAGACTTTCCATATTTTAATTACAGAAATGTAACTCGTTTAGGATATGTTTTTCTTTTAATTCCAAATCTTTTTAAAGGAAATTTTTTTCCTTTTATATTTCTTAATCTTTTTCTTATATTTTTTTACTTAATAAATTATTTTACATTATTAATTCTTCTATATTTTATGTATGATTTTCTTCATTTTATTTTATTTTTATGATTTCATTTCTCATTTAAATATTATTGTTTTCCATTTCTTTTTTTCCCAAATAAGTTCCTTAATGTCTTCCATTAATTTCTCATTTTCATTTTTTAAATTTTTTAAATCATTAATTTCCTTTTGGCTAATTTCGCCCACTTCGAATACTCTTTCGATTTCATTTTTATATTCGAAATTTAACATTTCCAATTTATTTTCTAATTCTTTTTTTTCTTTCTATTATTCATTTATTATCCTCTAAAAATCCTAAATCTATCCTTAATACTAATTTAGTTGATTTTGATTATTTCTTTTCATATTTTCAATAGTTTCCATTAATTTTTCTTATTTCTTATCTTATTATTCTATATATACTTCCATTTTCCTTATTTCCTATTGTTTTTCCCCAATCCTTTACATTAATTCATTAGTATAAATATCTTTTTACATTAGATTTTCCTATAAGATTTAACTTTCATTTCCAAATTCCTTCTTATTAGCTAAATTATCATTAATTTTTTACAGTTCTAAATTAACTTAAATCAACTCATTTATTTTTCCTTCCCTTCCCTTCATTTATTCTTATAAAACTTCAAATTTTCCTTTCAAATCCATAAATTTATCTTCTTTATCTTTCAGTAGTTAAATTGAGAATCCTTTATCTTGATTTTTCTTTAATTTTAACTCATTTTCTAACTCCAATACCTTCATATCTTTATCCAAAATTTCCTACTAAATTCTCAACACTTCATTTTATAATGAAGTGTTTTATTTTTGTAAATTTTCTAATTATAAAAATTATTATTTCTGGCTTTTATTGATATAATCATCTAATTAACTTTTAGTTTTTTCATTTTCTTTCTCCAACTAGGCTTTTTTTTCTTAAAAAATATGCATTTATTCTATTTTAGTCATTTCATATTATTTAATTATCTACTTATATTATTCTAAATCTTTATATTACTACTCATTAGTATTTTTTTACGCAAAAACAATCTAATCTTTCTCCCTTAATCTTTTTTCCAAAAACAATTTCTCATTTTTCCATTCCTTTTCTTTTTTTAAATTTTCTTATATTTTTTCATTTATTTACAATTCCAATTCCCGAATTTTTATTGCCTATTTATTATTTTCCATTTATAATTTTATTTAATCCATTTCAAATTATTTACTTAAAAGTAAATTTTGGCTTTAATTTATTTATACTCTACTTTAAGAATTTCTCATTTATTATGAATTTTCTCCAAAAATTTTCCTTTTTTAAACAATTTAATTAGAGTTGAAATTCACCTATTCAAACCCTTCCAAAAATTGATTTTTTGCCTCATAAAACTCTTCTTTTTCGAAATAACTTTTCAGTTTATCTTAATTATATTTTTAACTATCTTCCTCAAAATTAACATACTTCTTTTTTTATTAAATATTTTAACTTTATAATTCACTCTTTTTTTAAATAAAATCATCTTCATTACATTAACTTTTTGTATATTCATCTAATTAATTCTAAGATTATTACATTTATATTTGTTTTTATGATAATTACGATTTTTAATCTTAAGAATATAATAATTGTTATTTAATTTTTTATTCTTCTTCGTATTATTATTATCTAATTATTTCTTCGTCTTATTTTAGTTACCTTATTCTATCTTCTTCATATTATATTTATTATTATTATAATTACCTTTTTTTTTCTTCTTCTTATTGCTATTTTTTTCTTTTTTCATCTTATATTTGTTATTATAATCTTTTTTCTTCTTCCTCGTGTTATTTTTTTCTTTAAGCTTCTTCTTAATACTATTAATTTATTTTCTCTTATTATTGCTAAATTTTCCTTTATTCTTCATCTTTTTATTATTATAATTTCTTCTACCTTTCTTTTTCTTCTTATTATTGTTATTTTTTCTATTCTTCTTCATATTATTATTATTATAATTTCCTTTTCCTTTCTTCTTCTTATTATTGTTATTTTTTCTATTCTTCTTCATATTATTATAATTTCTTCTACCTTTCTTTTTCTTCTTATTATTGTTATTTTTTCTATTCTTCTTCATATTATTATTATTATAATTTCCTTTTCCTTTCTTCTTCTTATTATTGTTATTTTTTCTATTCTTCTTCATATTATTTTATTTTTCTTTATTCATCTTCCTTTTATTATTTTATTCTATTTTTTTCTTAATCAATTTATTTTAATCTCTCTTCTTCTTCATATAATTATTAAGATTTCATTATTTTCTCTTCTTCCTCCTCTTTTTGTTGCTTACTTTTCTATCTTTACGACTCATTTAGTTATTAATTAGATTTCTAATCATTATACTACTACTAACTTAATTATTAATGCGATTTTTCTTAACCTTTCACTATTTAAATAATTTCATTTTTTAACTCAATAAAGCTAATTTTCTATTAATTTAAATTTTCTAATGCTTATAAAATTTACAGACATACATCTGATTCATCTATAATAATTTCCATTAATTCATTATTTAAATTATCATCAGCCAAACATTAATCTGCAAATTATTAAAACTCATTAATTTACATTTCATATATTTATAACATATCATTATCATAATTCTATTCATTTCCATATTCAAGTAATTCACAAAGTAGATTTTTTACATTATCGTGTTCTTATAATTTTAAATAAATTTCTTTCGTTTATTAATTTATTTAAAGTCCTCCTTTTGTAGTAGTTTCTTCTTTATTAGTACTTTTCTCTATTTTTTATTCTTCTATTTTTTATTCATTTTTTTGTAATTTTCCATTAACAATTTTTTTTTTATCTTCATCTTTATAAATTTATAGCTATTTTTTTATTTTTTATTTTTATATTAAAAAAATAATAAAAATACTTTATCAGAAAACTTCACCCCTTCTTTCTTTAATTAATTGAAAATTCTTACGAATTTCGAAGGCTAATTTTCGTCTAATAAATCTTAAGGAAACCATAAAGCCCACATATAAAAAGATTCCAAAATGCAAACATAAAAAGTATTTGAAATAGTTTCCTATTCTTTTGTAGGATTTTTATATAAAATCTATGTCGGCTTTTTCACTTTTGCATATTAAGCTAACTTATCTAAAAAATCTCCTTCCTATATTGATAATGTAAAATACTCAAAACATACTTCCATGCATAGTTTTAGAAAATAAACTGCTCCTAAACGGGCATAAGGCTTATATTATTATCCGTTTATTATTGCGTTTAAATTTTCAAGAAGATTTGGTATTATTTCCACATTTTATGCTTTAAGTTACTTGGTATATATTTTGGCTTCATTCCATGTCTTTTTGTCTTCTAATAATTTAGCTAATTAATTGCATTCCATATTTCTTATATAACTATTTATATGATTATGTATATATATATATATATTATATAGTTTTTTTTTTATTTTTTGATAAAAATATTTAAGTTGTACAAATTATTTTATTTGTTATATAAATTAAATATTTTTTATTTATTTATAAACAAATTAAATATATATATATAAATTTATTTTTTAATATTAT